GGACACAACACAGCAGTGATCCTGGTGCCCACTGGAAGTCTAGTGAACAGCCAAGTCCAAAACAGAAAACCTCTTATCTCATGGAGTCATCATGCGATGCCCTTCACTTCCAATAAGGCCAGTAGAACTGGAGGATGATTCGTAACATACAAAATGATGCTCAATTTTAACTTTGCAGAACTAGATGTTTCAGGGAATTAGCTCTGTTTCAAACTACAAGGTGTCAGGAAGGAGTCAGTGTTCCCTGTGCAAATCCTGCCCCGTTCCTGTAACAAAAATGCCTCTTCTGGTCTCTGATTCAAGATCTTCTTTCATTCTCCATTTTGGTACACCGTGATTCCTAATAACCATGCCAGACTATACAGTCTTCAGCATTGGAATGAGTCAGAGGTATATATTTCTTAGCAACCATGAAAGGGATGTTCTGATACTATGGTGATGTATGGAGCCATGTAGGTAGCAACAACAGAGGATGTTAAGCGCTTAGAGGAAGTGTTTCCTTGTTTAGTCCTCCCTTCTGTGCCTGGGAATGGTGGTGCCATATAGCTGTACGAAAAACCCCACCATGATACAGATTTTACTTCCAACAAAATGTCTGGTGAACTGCAAGTAATTGTCCCCAGGTTGTCCTGAGGAAGAGACTTGCTTCTTTTTGACACTTAGGCCAGTGCTAAATAGCTGAGTAGTGATTTATTCTGTTCAGGCTCTTTCCCTGAATAGGGAATAGCACCAAAAGAGCTCTAGCGTCATTTATTTTGTAGTTTAATACTATATCTTGAAATCCCAGATTTTTCAAGAAACTTTTGGGAGGTAGATGCCCTAATCTCACCAAGTTTCCAAGGGATTTATTTTCTCTGGAGCTTTAAATCCTTGTGTAGAAAACGTAATTTATATTGGTGTGAATAAAACAGAAGCTTAATTTGAGGCACGGGCCTGGGTCTGTGGATAAGTACCTTCTCAGAACTTAACTGAATCAGTCACTTTTGTTCCTGTTTTGGTTGTCTGTTTCTTTTTTCTTTTTTTTTTTTTTTAAATATCTCTTCTACCCCTACATTTTCTCATTTTTCCATCTCTCTCCATTTCTTGCAGCATCCTACACCCTGCTTTGCCATTCAATCTCTTTTTTCCTCCCTCCCTCTATATGGAATCTTTTTTTCCAAATGTAGTAAAGTAGTGTTATATTTCATTTTTTCCTTAATTTCCTAAGGGGGGCTGGTAAATAGCATGCTAATGAATTTGGTAGCAACCGCTAATTTGGTAGGTATTACAGGGGTCAGCGTGGCATAAACAATCCTAGAGAAATGAAAATATAAAAAGAAAAAATAATGAAGATCTTTAGAAACATGCATGGAGAAAATAAACACAATTCACAGTTATTTCTTAGGACAGAGAAACCTGGAAAGTTGGGCATGTACCCGCAGTTCCTATCAGCTTGATCCTGTGAATTTTAACCCTGACTTCATTCATTCACTTTCCTTTTTTTATGTGTTGCACTGGTTGAGTTTCTTCAGGGATTGCATCATAAACTCTGCAGAAGAGAAGCTCTTTTCCACTCTATATTTGAGCAATTCCTATTCAAGTCAAACGCTCACCTTAATTTAGGACACAAGACTACCATGATATGGTACAGTAAATATTACTCATAGTGTGGCAATGCAGCATTGCTGCAAAATCAGATGCAGTCTTGGAATGCACATCAAAGAGAGTCGCAGCTCAGAAGTGGACAGCACTTGTTGGGTGCTTCTACTCGGATGATGATGTTGAAATCTGGGTGCTTCATTATTGAAAACACCGACAAAGTGACTTCAAGGGAAAAAAGATACTGAGAGTTAAAGGGAACATACTGTCTCATCATAGTTTAGCGTGCCGTGAGCATGAAGGAGTACATAAGCTGTGCAGAGGATGAAAATTCAGTTTTATGAACATTTTTGAGATTTGTCTTTGTCCTAAGTTGGAATGCCACCTGAAAATTTTGAAATCCCTTAAAAAAAAACTTTTAGAAGAAAAATGAGGATGATTGAAATGTTTATTGATGTCATCTTTTCATTTATGTTTCACTATGTTCTAAGACTATGCTAACTTAAATTGAAAAAAAGTGATTTTGACGTGAAAGTGTTTTGCATTTAAATTATAAAAACTGGATGCTCTCAAGCTGCCATAACATTTTTCTGCCTTTCTTAAAACACTTTCAAGGAATTCACATGATTTCAGGAAGTATTCACCTCAAAGGAGCTGCCTTTTCAGAGAAAAGAGTTCCACTGATGCATTTTCTTTGACCATCTTTAAAGCTCCTGCGCTACAGTTATTAAGAAAAAGCACCCAGAGTAGTGATTGTGACACTTTCCAGTGGCAAGTGCCAAATTTATTTTTAAAGCATTGTGTCTCATTCTCAGCAACGGGCTCTAGTTTTGGTCCTGGTGCCACTGCTTTGCTACTGGCAAGCCATGTATAAAGCCAGCTAAAGACTCCCATCTCAGACTCTCCCTTCCAAGCAAAAAGGAAGAAAATTATTTAGAGTGGTTAATAAAGTATCATGAAGGATAATAGCGTAACAGAATAAGCTGAGACAATTCCAGAGAGTTGTGTGGGAGCTGTCCATAGTGTGAGCCACACGGGGTTGCTCCCTGATGAGAAGAAGTGCTTGTTTCCCCTGCTTGTGACATTCAGCCCCACTCTGAGAAGAGAATGACTACAGGTACATTGAAAAGCCAGTGTGCTCTGGCAATCAGGTAGATGACTACAGCAGATGACCTAAAATGTGTCATCCTGTTTTATTCTGATTTTATATACTGCATGCCTTTGCCTGGAGACATCACCATGTGCATGAAACATAATATGAGGGAAGCAAGAAAACAGTCAGGACCCTTTAAATTGAGAGGAAATTAGTAGCAGTGCTGTTGTGAATGATTAAAAAAAATTTTGGGGATAAAGTACAGACTGACATTCAGAAGGAACTGGATCTGCAGCTACTGAATTGCCTATCCATTTTTGGCACATTAGAAATACGTGATTTGTTTCCTCTATACTACCTGGGATACGTAAACATTCTCTGCATTACATAATCTTGGGTAGAGAAGCAAAACGGTAATGATTGAATTCATAAATTGTAAAAATGGCATTCTCACCACTTATGACAGCACTAAGTCATCCTGACCGAGAGCCAGGCTTGCATTGTGTCCATTCGGGTGTTACCTTCTGCTGCTCAGGGACAGCTCTGCTGGAAAATGGGAGATTGATTGGTCTGAAAGACGATATGCTGCAAACAGGGCATTGGGATGACATTGCCCTTTTCACTGACTTTCCTCAGGACTTGACATTCCTTCTAAGTCTAAAAGTGTTTTTAGAGAATTGTAAACCATGGCTCCAATCTTGCACGGACTGGGATGCCAAAAGAATGAATCCTCTGATGGACTTTTTTGGGAGTAATTTGAGTGGTTTTCCCACATCACTTTGAGCTTTGGCTGGGACTTGGCATTTTTAAGGGTGTTTCCTCAAATGTTGGCTACTCTCATGAAGTCATTTCACCCAGCATGGGAAGACACCCACCTCTGTAGTGGGATGTGTGGCCCCTCTCGAGCCGTTCACATCCATCTGGTTACAAAGCGAGGCACCGTGGCTTATCTGTCAGGGGGAGCAAGAGGATTTGGACAGAGAAAAGCTGGAGTGCACTCACAACACAGAGTGGCAGCACAATTGGTGAAAATAACTATATTATGTAAATTTTGAGGTTAAATTTAGAGACATTTTAAGAACTGAGATGAACAGATTTCTTTTTTCAAAATATGTTGAGTTTAGACGACTAACAACACTTACTCCCTGGCTTCAGACAGGTCTTCTGCTGCTTAGTAAGGCCTGGCTCCCTCACTTTTCTGCTTTTCCTACTGCTTGTAATTACACATGAAGGACTTTGTGATTGTACTTCATGGTCCCACTCCATGTTCTCACTTCAGAAGTCTGTAAACCCCAGAAATTACTTCCAAGAAATGTTTATCTTCTGCCATGTAGCTGCGTGGCCATGTATGGGGTTTCATTAGGCTTGTGTCCTCACAGACTTCCCATTGTTTATTGGACCTTCTCATCTACATCATCTACATGCTTTCCTCCATTACTCACCTGAATTTTTTGGAACAGGCCTCATATGACCTGTTTCTTCCTCCCAGTGAGTGCTCAGCCTCATATATATATATTATATATGTGAGTGTATATATTATATATGTGTGTATATATATACACACACACATGTGTTATAGAAGTCCTACAAATCAAAATTTTAATTCCTAAAATTTAAAAAAATGACTGTTTAGCACTCATATATGATGCTAAATTAACTAGAAGCTAGAACTAGTCACAACCTATCCTTAGAAATCAATTTTTTGTGAAAAATTAGATTGAACTAAGTAGAACTCTCATTTCCTAACAACTTCATAGTAAACAATGAGAAGTAAAAATACATTTTAAATATCACTAAGACGCTAAGAGTTTCCTTTTAACATTTCATACTGGTTTATTTTACTACCTCATAAAAGAAATTAGGGAAAAAATGGTTAGATTTAGTGACTTTAATGAAGATATTTAAAATAATATTTGTCATAGGTAGGTAATTATTTTAACATATTTCTTGTATTCACACTGCTGAAAAATTGTAGTGTATTTCACAAACCAGATTGTTAATCTATCTGAAAGAAGGATGTGATTCCTGGTAAGGTATTCATTGTGCCAAGATAGACCTGAATTGAATTCCTCCACGGAGCCGTGTCAGTTGACACCAGCAGAGGCTTTAACACATTCTTATGGAGCTGCTAAAATTCAGAAAAGTTTAAGAGAAGAAAGCAATTTCCAGGAGCTCTCGGTGAGTGTATTCTCCTTACTGTTGTACCCCCCTTTATCGTGCTGCTGTGGGTGCTTGCTGGAAAACAACACCTGCAAAGGGTGAAAAACAGGAATAAGAAATATGCTGTGGATGAAACTAGCTGAGCGGTTACAATCCTGTGCCCCTGCAGGTGATCCCGTGGAGCCATATCCATGGGGCAGTGGGGCTCGTGTCAGGTTTTATGAGGTCCCACTCCTGCTGCTACGTGACTCCCCACGGCTGATGCCACCAGCCGGGCTGGTGAGAAGAGCTGAGGCGAGCGTTTCAGTTTACCAGTTCCATATCTTCATTTTCTCTAAATATTTAGCGCAGACTAATTGGCCATCCATTGTCTGAGAGAGACGGGAGACTGGATGAGAATCATTTGGCTGAGATTGTGCAAGTTCAAAACGATGATTACAGGATTTGAGAAGCAATGCTAGCAATTAAGCAAGCAGCAGAGCAGAGGGACTATACTTGCCATTCATTGCACAGGCGGTGGCCTGGGCTGCTGTTGCCCAGGGCTGCAGGTGTTGGGGGCTCCTCAACATAGACATTGGCAAGTACAGCAAGAAGGAAGTGGATGTCACCTAGGCCACTGAGTTTTCAACTCCCTCATGGATAGCTGGGAACCTCTAACCTGAGGCAGCACAAGCCAGATCACTGGAAAGCAGTTTTCCCTGACCAAGCCCCAAACCCCATCCTGAAATAGCTGCTCGTGCAGGACATACCCGCTCATTAAGCAAAGTTGCTCTCTGGGAGACCTGTGCGTCCAGCTGCCTTCCTGGTAAATCCAGCTTTCTTTTACAGCTGGCATTTTCCAGAGGGCTGAGGAGATACCTCCAGGGGCAGCCTCTGGTGGGTTTGGGTTGATGCTCTATGGATGAATCAGAAGATCGCGGCAGGGCAGTCCTGGATGTCCTGCTTTCCCCCTCCGTGGTCTGAAGGTGTGAAAGTTTGATTGACTATGCTGAAAAACTTGCAAAGTAATAACTCTTCTATTTTGTCCTGATTTGAAAACATGTTTTAATGAATATTCAGATAAGCTTTGTGCAATGTGGGATTTGCATTTATTTTCTCCCTCAGGCATGTCAGATCAAATAGAAACACAAACCGTACGACACAGAGGTCTCCTCGTGGTTTGCGCGGTCGCGTGCCATCTTTTGTCGTAATTGGATGGGGCTGATAGCATAAATCTGCAAAAAAACATACGGACCAAAAAAGGCAATTGTTTCCTGTCTGACTGTAAGTGTATTTCACGTCACTTGAAAATGTGAAGTTGGAAGAAGCTTGCTGGGGTGAAATCCCAGTGTCACTGAAGGGTGGGATTTTTGAGCTGAGCGGGAGCGTGATTTCACCCATTTTTCGTGCAGTATCGACTCTCTCTAGATCTCCTCCTCCGGTCCTTCAGCCTTTCACGTGGGTACTCGGGACTGTTGAACCCACGGATGTGAGTGCTCTTAAATACACGACCCCTCCCGAATTCCAGACCCGAGGACAGTAAGCTCAGCGCAGAAAAAAGAAATAATCCTTTCTCGCCCCGTTGGTAATTTTCACGCCTCCCGGCTCAGCTCCGGGCTAATCACGCCAGAGGACGCGACCCAAGCTTCCTTTGTGGGAACCCCACGGGGGGCGGGGGGCCAGCACCGGAGAATTAAGGAGCCCCCGGGGCTTCGGCGGGGCAGCGCCCGGTTACCCCCGCGGAGCCCGGCGGCCCCCGGGGCAGCGGCGGGGGTTGCTGTGCGCGG